TTTGAGGTCGTGATATGGCCATAGGACTTCAGGCAAAATTTCCTTCCATTTCCCTTGGTTCAACCTCTTCTTAAGGTTTTGGAGTATGGTTTTGTTCGTAGACTCCTCCTGCCCGTTCCCATTAGGGTGATAGGGTGTTGATAAGATCCTTTTGATCTTATGGTCCTCGAGAAATTTGCTCACCTTACTGCCGATGAACTACTTCCCATTATCGCACACGATCACGACCGGCATTCTGAATCGGCATATTATATGGTCCCAAATGAAATCAATAACTTCTTTATACCTGACTTTCTCAAATGCCTGGGCTTCACCTACTTAGAAAAATAGCCAGTCATAAATAATATAAATTGAGCATTATCGGGTGCCCATGGCAGGGGACCGATAATATCCATTCCCTATTTCATAAATGGCCCAGGTGACAAGACCGAATGTAGTAGCTCTCCGGGCTGTGAATCATCGGTGCGTGCCTCTGAAATTCATCATATTTTTGTACGATCTCCTTCACATCTTTTTTCCATGTCGATCCAATAATAGCCTGCTCTAATTACCTTATGAATCAACGATTCAGCACCCGAATGGTTCCTATAGGTGCCTTCGTGAACTTCCCTTAAAACATATTCGGTATGTCACGGTCCCAAACATATGGAGAGTGGGCCATCGAACGTTCTCCTGAATAAGGTGTAGTCTTCCGACAGGCTGAACCTAGCCGCCTTTGTGCATAGAGCCCTCGATTCCTTAGGATCTAAGGGCAACTTCCCGGTCTTTAGGTAATCTATATACTTGTTTATCCATTCTCAGGTTAAGCTTGTCGAGTTTATCTCGGCGTGGATTTCTCCACTACCGATTTCATGAGTTGCAAGATCGTTCCCGAGTTGAATTCATCGTCATCAACTAACGATCCCAAATTAGCAAGAACATCGGCTTCACTGTTTTGATCTCGAGGTACATGTTACAGATTCCACTCCTTGAACCGATATAGTGTTACCTATAGTTTATCCAGGTATCTTTGCATTCTTTCCTTTCTAACTTCGAACGTCCCATTGACTTGGTTCACCACAAGGAGGGAGTCACACTTAGCTTCGATCACCTTGGTCCTAGACTTTTAGCCAGTTCGAGGCCTGCAATCATGGCCTCATACTCAGCCTCGTTGTTAGTCAATTTTACAGTGCTAATAGATTTTCTAACTATATTACCTGTCGGTGGCTTTAACACGATGCCAAGTTTGACCCCTTTACGTTCGAGGCACCATCCGTAGAGAGGGTTCGGATTCCCGAGGAAGTCCCCGAGTTCAACAATAATTCCCTTTCGACCTCAGGTATTAGGGTCGGCGTAAAGTCGGCCATAAAGTCGGGCAAAATTTGAGATTTGATGGCGGTTCGGGGTCGATATTCGATATCGTACCCGCTGATCTCCTTGGCCCATTTGGCCAATCGTCTCGAGAGCTTGGGTTTATGCATTATGTTTCTCAATGGATAAGTAGTTACGACACATATGAGATGGCATTGAAAATATGGTTTTAGCTTCCTAGAGGCGCTTAGCAAAGCGAGCACCATTTTCTCTAGGTGAGGATACCTGTTTCGACCTTACCTAGAATTCTGCTAACATTATGGATAGGAAATTGCGTGCCTTCCTCTTCCCGAACCAGGACTCCACTTACCGCTATCTCAGATACCGCTAAGTACAGGTACAACTGTTCGTCTACCTTCGGGGTATGAAGCCAAGTTGGGCTCGAGAGGTACTGCTTGAGTTACTCCAAGGCTTGTTGGCACTCCGAGGTCCATGAGAAGTTATTCTTCTTATTCAACAGTGAGAAGAACCGATGGCTCTTGTCGGAGGACCTCGAGATGAATCGACCCATAGCGGCTATGCGCCCGGTTCTCCTTTGAACGACCTTGACATTGTCCACAATGGTGATGTCCTCAATGGACTTGATCTTATTAGGATTAATCTTGATTCCCTAGTTGGACACCATGAATCCGAGGAATTTCCCGGATCCGACTCTGAATGCGCATTTCTCCGGGTTTAGCTTCATATTGTATTTCTTCAATATGTTGAAGGTTTCCTGCAAACGTTTCAAATGATCCTCTGCTTGCAGGGACTTAACTAACATATCGTCAATGTAAACCTCCATTGATTTTCCTTTTCTCTCTCCGAACATCCAATTTAGTAGGCGTTGGTAAGTGGCGTCGGCGTTTTTTAGTCCGAATAACATTACATTATAGCAGTAGATGCCGTACTTAGTGATGATGGTCATTTTTTCTTGATCTCCCGGGTCCATTCGAATTTGGTTGTACCCAGAATAATCATCGAGAAAACTGAGGATCTCATGGCCGGCCGTCGCATCTTAGCTCCATGTGGATTCGTCCCTGTTTCTTAGTTGGGTTTCTCTTATTGCATATGACAGTTTCATATCCCTTTTGGGGTGTGCATTTGGACATGACCATGACGTGCTGAGGTTCCTCTTGCTCGATCTTCTTATAGGAGTCTCTATTCCTCAAATGAATTTTGGCTTGATCGCTCAGGAACTCTTGGAGGTGTCCGTTGTTGAATAACCATGCTACTTCCTCTCTCAACTGTCGGCAATCTTCAGTTCTGTGGCCGTGAGTGCCATGATACTTACACATTAGGTTGGGGTTTCTTTGAGCAGGATTAGACTGTAAAGGTCGAGGCCACTTGGTGTCTTTGAGGCGTCCAATGGAAGATACGATGACACCAGGATCGATGTTGAAGTTGTACTCCGATAACCTTGGTGCTTCCTTAGGCCCGATGAGCCCGTCGAAACCGCTTTTGCTCATGAGTCCCCAGTTATTTTGACCTTGATCATTTCTCCTTTCATGTTACATCTCGTGTTTTCGTACGTTTAGCAGTTTCGTCTTCAGTTAATTGACGTAGACTCGGGGATGAGCTCATTTTGACATTAACGTATTTACATTATTTATCACAAGCGATAAATAAGTGTCCTGAAGGATAAATGGTACACGAATTAAAGAAAACGAGTTTCGTTGAAAGAGGCAAATTTGGAATAAAAATATGGGTCAAGCGATAATACCCGATAATTATAAACTAGTACCATGCAAGGTACCATATGACCACGGTAGTATAATATATAAAATATATATGAAGTATTTTAAAAATAAATAGAATTTTAAGTAATTTATGGTAATTTTAAATTATGCGGGTAATTGGTTAACTACCGGGTAATGAAACATTACCCAATTAATTAATAAGTGGATAAATAATTTACAAAATCACACCCCAAGAAACGTGGCAGCCCCTCCCCCTTTTAGTTTAAGGTGACTAACTATTCACCTTTACATGTGTCATAAAAAGGCTTAAGGGGCTAATTTACAAAATCTTATCCAAAATAGAATTGGTAAAAATCAAAAGACATTCATTCTATCTTGGTTACCAAAAAAAAACGTGAGAAAGCAAGGATCATTTTGAGCTCTTTCCTAATTCAAAAAAAAATTAGATCTTAATCCTTCCATTTTGGTCAAAAAGGAGACAACGTTCCAAAATCTAAGCAAGAAACATTTTTTTTTACAAATTAGAAGCTAGCTACACCAAGTCGTGAAAAACAGAACAATTTCGTTTGAAAAAATTTCGAAGGATTCAAGAAAATCTCGTTCAACATATTTCGCTGAAGCAGAAGCTTCATTTCATTCGAATAATTCCAGGAACAGGTATGTTAAAGCCCTCCCTTCTTTCTTTTGACATAGGTCCAAATTATATTGAAGAAACGAACAAATACATAGTTTTCATAAATTACTCTATTCATAAAATTATTAGGGGTGTCTATATTCTTGATTCCCCATGAAAAATATTATTATCTTATGTTCGTGGGTCTCACAATAATACACAGTTGGAAAAGTTTATCCGGAAGGAATATTGAGATTATTACGTATTTTCATGCATTTCACACATTTATACATGTGCATTGACCCATGACCAGATGACGTTATATACGCGTATATATGTAAATATATATATATGATATATGGGAAAAGGTTACGACGTTATATACACACCACCACCTGATCAGCCGGTATATGTTGATGATGTTGCCCACAGTGGCTGAGACAATATGATGGGATGCCCTCAGTGGCTTGATGATATTATATACACCCATACCTATGCATGACACGATATTTATACGCATGTGCATGGCATTATAAACATTTTAAAATTTACAAAGTTATTTAGATTTAAAGATGTATTTCTATATTCCATGTTTCATCTATGTCTTTTACGTACAAATTTTCATGCCTTACATACTCAGTACGTTTTTTGTACTGACGCCCTATTTCACGGGGCCTGCGTTTCATGCCCGTAGGTGCAGGTAATCAAGTTGACGGTCCCCCTTCTTAGGATCCCTGATCAGCGAGAGTTGGCGTGCTCCATTTGATCCGGAGCTTCTTTTTATTTTGGTACGATACGTTTGTATATATATATATATATATGGGTATGACGTGGCTCAGTCCTGTCTTTGTACAGTTATATTTCTGTTAGAGGTCTGTGGACAGTATATCTAGTGAGGTTGTATGTCGCCTTGACGGCTTTCAGTTTGGATGTATAGTTGTTTATAGCAGCCTTGCCGGCTCGCCCACTGTATTTTGCCTGTATACATACATATGCCTTGAAGGCACGTTTCCTTCTTGTATGTTACTTTCGTAACTCAGCAGATGTTATTCAGGCCCGTATCTTAGACGCATGCTTAGGGGTGTTTGATAGGTAGGACTCAAGCACCCGTCGCGGCCTATCGATTTGGCACTACTACAAAAAGGGCATTTGGTGGCAATTATTTAGCGGCAATAAGTCAATTGCCACTAATAGATTATATAAACTGAAATATTAGCGGCAAATGACTATTAGTTAGTAAATAATATCCTTTTATTGACATTTGACAATAAAAATAAATTGCCACTAAAAATTACTAATTGCCTTTTAGCGGAATAGGGTTTTATTTTATTTTAACTTTCCCTCCCTGCCCTAAAAAATATGTCCCTCCAAATTTTTTTGACAAGAATGAACGATTTCCTCCAATCAGAAAATAATAGGAAAACCTATTCAATTCACCGAACGGGATACGGAAGAGATGAGCGATTAACAAAATCACACAGATAGGTCTCCAGCCAGCTTTTCCCCAGATACCTGCTCTTCTTCCCCAGGTATCTTTGCTTTTTACCTAGCAGATGCGGTTAACATTTGGGTTTGGATTGTGCTTATCGATTATGGTTGTTATTATTCTTTCTTTCATCCATTCCCCACTTCTCTTTTCGTGTAGGTTTCAAGATTGTTGCAGAACTCATTCTTGTCCTTCAATTTCTTGTCTTTATCGACGAAAAAATCTGATTAACAGGTACAAATTTGTGACTTTAACTGTTGCGTTTTGAGATTTGCGAAAGTATAATTTTTCTGCATATGTGAGTCGTTTGTGATATCCGGCTGATGCTAAATTGACGTGTGATGATTGGGTTTATTCCTCCTCTGTTCCTCGACTATTTTATGATTTTGTTCCTCTGTTTTCTATTATTCGTGTGATTATTCAGAAATTTTATAAGTGTCGTCGATGCATATTGATGTTTTCATTAAATCTACCACTAGTCGAGATATGAATTCCTCTGTATGTTTTCTGTTATTCTTGTCATTTTTTAGAAATTTTAAGCATCGTCGAAGCATATTGATGTCTTCATTGAATCTACCACTAGTCAAGAAAAGGTTGAATTTTTATTGAATAATTTGTAGTGAGGTTATACAAGTAGTTCTTGTATTAGTACTTCATTGTAGAATGGGCTAGTGCCCGATGCAAACCGGTGATCGGAGTCCTTGACTCTGTGATATGAGTTTCTTACCTCTATCATGAAGGACCAACGAATTTTTTGGTTCTAAATGCATTAAGAACTTTAGTTGCATTGTAAACTTCTAAAATGATGTACATCTTCTTGAAATTAGTGATCTTTATTCTGCATCCTGGAGCTCATTATTGAATATGAAACAACACAGTAAGTTAGTGATTTGGTTAAAAGTTTGTATTTTCTTGTAATAGGTAATATTACTATGAAATGCAGATTTCTGTGTTTCTTTTATTTCTAGAAGTAAAGGGAGCAGATTAGTTACAATAGTTGGATAGAAATAGTTGAGGATATTATGAAGGCCAATGAGTTCTGAAGTGGGAAATTTCTACATGGTCCAAATTAAACAAGGAGCTCTCCTTGATTCTACTTGCCATCTTGGGATGACTTTAAGTATATTTTCTGGGATGTAGGTTCCATCTGTCCCGCATCTCCTGTCAACTCCTATGTCGTTAATAATTTGATGAAATGGTGGGATAAAAATATTGGATACTCCATGCTGTAGTCAAATTCATAAACCATTTGGATCAATAAGTAGGGGTAAAGTCTGCGTACACACTACCGTCCCCAGACCCCACGGCGTGGGATAATACTGGGTATTATGTTGTTGTTGTAATCTATACCCTTTAACACATTCCAGTAATGAAAATATTGAAGTTGGAAACATATAATTTAATTTATACCGTCAAACTTGGATGTCCACAAGGTTGTTGTTACAGTAAAAAATATGAGAAGATACAGTACCATAGGCTAAAGGATCTTTAGAAAGTAGTACTAAAATTATTCATGGGCATCCCATAAATCTCAATGTGTTAAAACCTGCAATAGCCCTCATGTAATCATCAGTGAGTAGTTCTTTGTTTCCCAATACTATGAAATGCCAGCACAAAGTTAAACATGATCCTTTTTTTCTATAGATAAAATTAAGTTAAACATGTGCCTTTAGGAAGTGGAAGTTTGCAGTGAACAATTTGTGTATGTTTCTGTACTTAGCAAGTAATCAAATACTTTTTGTTACAAGTTATATATTTAAACCAAAATATTCTATCCCGAACAATCGATTTGTTTTTAAGAAATAGCATATCTTCAGTTAAGGAAATATCTCAAATTACAGCGTCTCATCATACCGATAAGACCATTTGTTATATCGGACATTAATATATATGTATGAACTAGCTACAAGTTACTTGTTCTTCTATTTTCTTGTTAGATATTTTGTAATATTCTCTGTTTAAAGGACCTATTTCATGTGAAATATGGTGAGTGTGACTGTGACATGTTAGCTAGTTCATTGTAAATAACAGATCATAGAATATGGTCCATCTTCTGCATTTTTTTCAACTTGTATGGTACCTTCCCGTATTTCAAAAAGTTTAAAAAAGAAATGATCTTGATGGTTACACCTCTAATGTGTTAATATTTATTAGGTCCTTGACGCCAACAGTGGCCATGAAAGAGTACCACAAACATCAAGGATACCTAGTGTTACTGAAAATACTTCAGTGTCTCGCGGTACTATTCATCTTTATCCTTCGGTGCTACTATTTGAGTTTTCTATTGTTTGAATTTTCCTCCAATTTTTTTATCATTATGATTTGATTTCATGTAAACTTGCAAGAAATGGAAATAAGATATAGTTTCGACTTACATGCTTCCATAATTCGATCGTCTTTATCAGTATTAGTACCATTTACATAAGAAATAAAAGTCCATTGGCGAGTATAATGCTACAATATGCTATGATGCACAGATGACCATTTAAAGCACCAACAAGATCTGTAAGGTAACACACACGGCAGATGACTTGATAGCGAGTATAATGCTACGATATATTACGAACAGGGCAGTTGCTTCTATATTGCCTTCTGTCCTTAAGACACAGTCTCTGTTAGCTTTGCAACCAGACAAATAAAACCATAAGCTTCTTTCTTTATCCTTTACGTGCAAATATACTCACTATACAAGCCAAATGATATGTCCTTGGAATGATTCTATACACCTTGGTCATGCTACTGAAGTGGCGAAGTCCATGATCTAAAAGTCAACATGTCCACAGGTAGATAATACTCTACCATAGCAGTTGTCAAATGCAAGCAAATGATAAAGACCCCTCATTTTTTGTCTTTTTTTGGTCTTTTGGTTCTTCTGATATTCCAACATCCTGAAGTAACTATAATATACTTTTAACTTCGAAGCTGAGAGTTAGCATGAACTAAGAAATATACCTTGCGATGCAACAGTCAGTTACATAGTTAGATAACTCATCAGTCACTTAGCATGAAGCAAAGATTAGTATTAACCATTAATCAAAAGGAAAAAGTTGTGATGCATAAGTCAGTTGGAGACATGGAATCCCAGGAAAGATAGAAAATTACTCTTTGTGCTCTTTCCCTTCTTTATAGTGAGATAACTCATCTGATTCCTAGAAAATCCTAAGGTTATGAATAGTTGATCTTCATTTTGAACCTATTAATGCTTGTTATTTTCCTCAGTTGAATCTGTAAGCTATGTATTACTGAATTTGTATATGCAAATGAGTTTGATATAAAAATATCTTTCGGTTAATGGACCTATCCTTTTCCTGGAGGTTTTCAGACCCTTTTAGAGTAGAGCGTTAACTGAGATTTTGGATATTTTTGCGTTTATTTGTAGTATTCAGCTTTATTAGTTATGTAGTGTCTCAGTTCTGCAGCTACTGGACAATATAGAAACGATTGTATCCTGTAAAACAACTTTAGCTTGGGGCAATGTTTTGACAGTAAAACAACTTTAATTTGCATAAAGTATATATGTTTGAGGTTTTGATGTTTCCATCAACTTGTGGAGCATGCTCTGCGACGTGTGACTGTAGTGTGTTGTTACTAGTATCCTTTTCTATATTTACACAATAGATAATATCATGATTTCTCCTTTCCACCCCATACAGCCCCTTGCCGCATAATAGAAGGGAAATATTAGTAACTGCAATTGCTGTCCATCGATTTATTTATGTTGGTTATAAATTTATTTTGTTCTATCAGGGCATCTGCTTCTAATTTATCATGTGGTGTTGCAATAATTTATGATTGTATCGGCTTAAATGATTTTATGTATTAGCTAATAGCCTAATAATTTTCAGTCCTTGGAGGATCCCTGCATGTTGTTATTAAATCTCTGTAACAGAGGGACAACCTAAAAGTCTAAAATAGTTAAAAACTTTAGAGGGGATTTTGTACCAATATTGTCAGCTTCTTTAGAGTAATCAGATGAAACTAAAGAGATCTAATAGATGCTGATATTGTTTGCAGACATTCTCTCCTTTTTCCCTCTAGTTATTTTCCGAAGATATTGTCACTTGATTTAGATTTGGAATGTGATGAGTCCACGATATATGAATTTAATATTTTTGCTCGATAAATATCCCAGTTGAAGACTATTATATTTCATTTATTGATATGGTTATTTTGTAATTTCAGGTCATATAGTCTGATCATTGACAATTTAGTGGGTGAAAGATTTCCATATGATGAAGCATTGTAGAAATTATTTGAATACTATTATTTGTTAGGATAAGTTATATGACATATAATGATATTAGCTATTTGCTTCAAACAATACAAATTTATTTTTAAGTTATTGTGATATTAATATTTTGGATTAGTATTTTCTTTTGTTTGTTAAGATTTAATGAGATACATTATATTTTTCTGAATCAATATTATTATGTTTTATTATTTGGATAATTTTTTCAATGAATGTAATAGCTATTATTAATGGTGGCTAAGCTATTGTTGTTATAGCTTGTGACTTTTAGTGATAATTTAACAGGATATATTGATTATAAAAATAGACGATAAAAGGGCAAATTATGATATTTCCACGGGGGATATTGTAGCCATTATAATTGCTTTTAAAGATGACTTTTAGTGGCAATTTAATTAAATTTATCAGCCATTAAAATGGATGCTAAAAGGACATACTAATACATTTTTAGAAGGACTATTATAGCCATTCTAATTGCCACAAAAAATTTACCGTTAAAGATATGGACTTTTAGCGACAATTATTTTGAATTTAGCGGCTATAAAAATGGACATAAAAAGAGGATTAGTAGCTATTTTAGATTGGATTTAGCAGCCATCATAATTGCCGCAAACAATTACCGTTGAAGCAAATGATATTTAGCGGCAATAAGTTAGATCTTTTACCAGCTTTTGTGCAAAACGCCACTAAAGGCTTCGCCGACTCTGATTTCAACGGCTAAACATCAATGGCCGGTAAATGATATAGCGACTATTGTTATTGCCACCAATGCCTTTTTTATTGCCGCTAAAGCCCCTTTTTGTTGTAGTGTGGGTCGTGACAAAAGTGGTATCAGAGTAGTTCTGTCCTAGGGTTGTCTACAGACCGTGTCTAGTAGAGTCTTGTTTATGGGTGTGTCGTGCACCACACTTATAAACAGGAGGCTACAGGACATATAGGATGTTATCCTTTCTTCTTATCTTAGATCGTGCGATATAAGCATTAATGTTCCTAACGATGTGTTACGTTTTTAGCGATGCCTCCGAAAACTACAACCGCTAGCATAGGTCAGAAGGCTACGAAGGTGTTAGAAAGAGAGATAAGTTATACTATGGATTCAGACACGTTGGAGATCATGGGTTCTATTGAGGAGGATCCATCCGAGGATCCATATGAGTCATATGTTCGAGCTGTTTCGACCACTCCAGTAGTAGATGGGGCGAGATGATTTCTGACCTCACCAAGACCCTTAGTTTCACAGCCCATTAATCAGGATATGAGGGGAGTAGTGCATGGATTGGCACAACCGGGATTCCCTTAGGCCCAAAACTATGTCAATGTATTTGAGGACACTAGCTCTCTGAGTTTCCGGATAGTCCACAGTCTTGGGAGTCCGTCAATTAAGGTTCGTCGGTGTATGTTATGGGATACACAGAGGAAGAAGATAGCAGTCGAGCCAAGAGGAGGACGGTACCTGATAAGAACATGAAAATTTCGCTTTGATGTATGTTCGATCAAGGTTCTTATATAGGACAAGGCAAGGACCCTCTACTATAAACTTCCTCCAAGGGTCAGTTTTCGGTTGGTGAGTTCCACCTCTTCTTGGAATATTACTAAGTTAGGGTTCTAAATGTATTTGGTTGTTTTATGAGGATGTAGGGAGCCCCGTCCTGACTTGTATATATTATGGTTATGCCTACTTAGAGGTTTTGCAGTCAGTATCCTGTATATAGTTTTGGGTAAGATATGTCTACGGCCTAGTCGACCCCTATGTATATAAACCTTTTTCTTAATTAGTTATGCGAGTTAAGTTTTAATATTGTTACATATATATATGGATCTGGCCCGAAATGGCCCGTGATAGATTTGATAATAAACAAGGATAAGATACGTGGCGTTCGGTTGGGCAGAACTTGATACTATAATGGGTATGGATTGGTTGGCTTTTTGTTATGTTAACATCAAGTGTAGGTCAAAGATAGCCCGACTTCAATTTACATGGGAGCCTGTTTTGGAGTGGGAAGGTAATACGGCATCGCCGAAACGCAGATTTATTTCTTATCTCAAAGCAAGGAAAATGATTAGTAAGGGTTGTATTTATCACCTAGTTCAAGTTCAGGATACGGAAGTAGAGTACCAACCATTCAGTCCATCCCTGTGGTGAATGAGTTTCCCAATGTTTTTCCCGAGGAGCTTCCGAGTCTCCTGCCAGAGCGAGAAATTGAGTTTTCAATTGACCTACTACCAGATACTCACCCAATATCTATTCCTCCTTATAAAATGGCCCCCGCAGAGCTGAAAGAGTTGAAAGAACAACTAAAGGAATTGATTGAAATAGGTTTTATCAGACCTAGCACGTCACCAATGGACCTGTTTCTTCAAGTTTCTTCATGGGAACATGTGGACCATCATAAATGATGTCCCACAGCTCTGAATCTTTTGCCATCATGAAATCATGCATCCGGGTCTTCCACCAGCCATAGTATTGACCATTGAATCTGGGAGGTCTATAGGTTGATTGTCCTTCTTCAAAGTTTGGTGGAGCAGCCATTGAGGATCCTTCCTAGGTGTTAGCCTGATAGGAGAAACCTGCTCTGATACCAATTGTTAGTTTATATGAGTTCACCAAACTATAGAGTACCTGGTCCTCTATGAGATGATACGTAGAATGCAGTAAAGACTGAATGTAAAGAAGGCAAGAGATTTTCTACGTGGAAAATCCCACACAAGGGGATAAATAAACCACGACCTACTCTTGTAGGATTTTAACTCTACTAACTTGTAATCTACCTATTACAAGCCACTTTGCAAACACCCTATTGCAAAGACTTCAAACTAACTTGTGATGCAACCACCACAAGCTACTCTATAACTCTCCTAGTTACAAAGGATTTAAACTTATGAATTTGATTTGTTCCTAAGACAATGCTTCTAAGAAAGCAAACTAGGAATTACAATGATGAACAAATAACAAGATTACAACTCTCCTATGGATGTACATAAACTCATTTAGAAACTAATCCTTAGTGGAGTTGTCTTCTTGTTCTTGATACATCAGTGACTTCAATGCCGGATGAATTTGCTTCTTGAGAGAATAGCATTGAATGCACAAAGAATGGTGTGTCTTGCACCAGGTTGTTTTATCATAAAAGATAGCACAATGGGTAGTGATGTCAACTCTTGGTGTACGCTTCTTCCCAATGAGAAGTGACTGCTGTACTGTCTGCACAACTACTTCTGGGCAGTTGCGTTCCAGCTGGATAGTGGACTTTGTACTTCTGTCAGGACACACCAACGGACCAGGTCCTAGTTGTGTTCCTCTTCTGTGACAGTTGCCAGATGGTCACTTTCTTCTGCTACGTTCCAGCTGTGTACTTGATGTGTCAGAGAACCTTAAGGGACCAGGTCACCAGGTCCATGTTGTGTTCCTCCCTGTGGTCGTTCATCAATTTGCTGACAAGTTTACATGAAATGTATCTTTTGGGACAGGTTCTCTATCTGGTTCTTCACGACAAGTTTGTTAGATCATCAAAACATAAAAAACATAAGGCTAAGACATTGAAAACCCATCAATTTCCCCCTTTTTGATGATGACAAACTTAGGCATGGATAGTATTTGTTTAGAGCATAAATGACCAGATGAGATGCCGGTTTCCCTTAAATCTTAGATCTCCCTCTTTGATTTTAGTTCCCCCTCAATCTCAGACTTGATTTTTCCCTGATCTTACGCAAGCATATTACCCCCTTCAACCTCCCGCTTTATTTCCCATTTTGGCATCATTAACAAGAATAGGTATGATGAAGAGCACAAGCAAATAATAAGCATAAAGAAGTATAACACAGCTAGGTCATGCCATATATGTGCACACAACATGACAGAAAAGAGAAGTCAGAGGAACACAGTATTGTACATGCAACGAAAGGGGAGCTGTTTTATTAATGTTTACATTGGACTAAGCAATTCAGGACCAGTAATGGTTAAGATCAACATGCCATCACAAAAACAAGCAAACAAAAGTAAAACAACAGCCACAGGATGTTGGAGCAAAAATAGCTTGACAAAAAGAGGATCCTAGGGAACACTAAAGGAAGGAGGCTTGGAGGAAGAAACATCAATAGTTTTGAGAACCAGGTCCAGTCTAGCATTTGCAGACAATTGTTATTCAAGTAATTGAGCCCGAAGTCTCTCATTTTCCTTTGTCAGTCGGGCAACCTCCTCATGTACAGAATCAGGTCCTTTAGCTGCTTGACTGAGCTGAGTTTCCAGTATGGCATTTCGAGCCCTCAGCCTTCTTATTTCCTCAGAGGCTACATTTTGAGCGTTGATCAGCTTAGAAATGGTCGAGATGCTTCCACCAACTTTTTATATACATTCACATTCTTCTAGAGTGGTTTTAGAGAAGGTCTGCTTGCGTGTGCCCACTCTGGGATTTTCCATAGGGACCTTATAGAATTTGAACACCTGAGTGAGGAGAAAGCCATAAGGTAACCCATGATTTCCACCCTTAAAATTTGCCACCTTCTGCATATGATCTATCATGATTCCTGGCAAATTGATTGGTACAAACTCATCAAGCGCTTCCATCAGGACCAAATTCGATTTTGTAGCAATGGAGCGCCTTTCAGAGCGGGGTAAGAGTACTTTATTAACCAGTTCAAAGAGAAGCCGGTACTCAGGAAGCAATACCTTCTTATGGACCTATTCCCCCTGTTGAATAGCTTGCTCTTTCATGATAGCTCTCCGAAAGTTTATTCCACAGATACCCTTAACTGAGGACACACCTTCACATGGAATTCTGAGAACCTTTCCCTAAGTTGAAGCGTCGAGTATAATGTCCACTCCATTTACAAGCGCACAGATGTGATCCCCCTCAATAGTGAAAAGATATGCATAGAAGGTTTGTACTGCATCTTCGTACACCAGAGGCATGCTCCTTTCAAACAGGTATTCCCATTGTTGAAATTCCACAATCTCTAGAATTTGTCTCATGCCTACCATCTCCGAAATTGCTGGATCAAATGTTCAACCCCACAACACTTTTTGAGTTCTTAATCTCTGCTGCTACAGAACACCATCACAGGTCATGGACCTTGTTGAACTAGGTTCCTTAACGGTTTCCCCTTTTTGTTTGCTAGACCCTTCGGCAGACTTTCCTTTCCAACTTGCTGTCCCCACAGTA